CAAGCAGGCTCACCCAGAGCAGGGGGCACAGGACAGCGGCCAGGCGGGGGTTGAAGATCTCCAGAGAAGGAGACTCCACAGCCCCCCTGGGCAGCCTGGGCCAGGGCTTGGGCACCCTCACAGTCAACAAGTTCTTCCTCACGTTCAACTGGAGCCTCTTGTGCTTCAGTTTGTGCCCATGGCCCCTTGTCCTGGCGCTGGGCACCTCTGAGAAGAGTCTGGCTCCGTCCTCGTGACACCCAGCCTTGAGATATTTGTACGTGTTGATGAGGTCCCCTCTCAGCCTTCTCTTCTCCAGGCTGAACAAGCCCAGCTCCCTCAGCCTTTCCTCCTAGGGGAGATGCTCCAGTCCCCCCATCATCCTTGTTGCCCTCCTCTGGACTCTCTCCAGTAGTTCCTCGTCTTTCTTGAACCGGGGAGCCCAGAACTGGACCCAGTGCTCCAGGTGGGGTCTCAGCAGGGCAGAGCAGAGGGGGAGGAGAACCTCCCTCGCCCTGCTGGCCACGCTCCTCTCAATGCGCCCCAGCAGCCCCCCGGAGGCAGAGAACAGGGGGTGGGGTGTAGAAATGAGCTTGAAAATGGAATTTGTCCCCTGGCTGGATGAGATGATGTTTGCCAGGTTAAAACGCGGAGGCGGGCGGGCGATCCAGGGCCCATGGTGGCAAGGGGATCACCCAAGCGATGTCTGGAGAAAAGGGAGGCAGCAAATTTCTCTTGGGAAGAAACAGCGGAGAAGGGTGCGCCGTGTGCACCCCGGAGGAGGGGGATTACAAATTCATACAGTCCCGAATCGATCCAGTTTGGGGCTTGCTCAAAAGAAATGGCAAGAAAACGAATAGTTTGAGGAGAAGATCGCATATTTTCCTTCCGCGGGGCCATATAAAAGTCATTTCAGTTTTTAGCGCCGTCACCTTGCAATAAAGGAAAGCCTGGGGAGTGTTGCTGCCATCATTCCCACCAGCGTTAGTAATGGTTTCCATAACACTAATGGCTGCCAAATCGTAAACGGTGTTTTCCGGTGATACCTGCCGAAAAGCTTTACGTGCAATTAATTGTCACAATGAGAGATGAGCAGAAGCTTTATTTCCTTCACCAAAGTAAGAGGGAAAACTGTAGCAACTGAGCTGTCTCTAGGAAATCAGTTGTTGCGAACCTAAGGTTGATCTGACAGGGCTTGGACTAGATGACCTCTAGGGGTCCCTTCCAACCCCAAACATTCTATGATTCTATGTCTTTTAGTATAAAATCACTCATCTCATCCACAAACTACTCCCATAAAACCATAAAGTATTATCAATAATAATTAAAGAGTAAGAAAACAAAGGGGTGGGCATGGGGCAGGTCCCACAGCCCGGAGCCAGCCCCTGCTCCACCCTGGAGCCTTCCCCTCCCCTTCCAGGGGGCCCGGGCAAGGCGACCACCGGGCAACCAGAACGGCAGCAAGGGCTGAGCCCGCTGCGGTTCCCTTCCCTCTCGGAGCGACAGGACGGATTAGGAAGAGAGCAGCCGCCGTGTTCGTGTTTTGCAGAAGGAGACGTGCACAGCAGGGTGCGGCCCCAGGTAACGGGGGGTCACTCGTGCCAGTGGCCAGCACTGCCAGCTCAGGTGGCTCTGAAGCCCCTGGCCAT